ATGGAGCAGCTTGTCATGCCCAACACAAACTGCTGCTCACTGAAAACTGAGAGACTCTTGCTAAAAAACTCCCAAAAAACCCACTGAACGAGCACAAAACTGAAAAATTTCCACCCACGGACACGAGGAGCCACTTAGAGCTTGGGTTACTCAGAGCCTTTATTTGATATTAACATTAAAACTTAAAACTGCTGAACTTCAACTGAACTCAAAACTGCTGCAAAAAGCAGCTCTGCCAGAGTCAGACTGGAATGTGCTGGCAGGGCTGGGAGAATAAAATTGCCAAGTCCTTCCTTAGCTCATGAATTTTTCATATCATTAGCAAAATATACCCATAAAATGTTGCAAAGGGAAGATTTAGGTGTTTTGTCTTTGACCCTGGTGTACCAAACCTCTGCACATCACCAGCATTCCCAAAAATCCTTCAGTTCTGATGTCTGTCATGTCTAGAGTACAGTAAAAGAGGCTTCTGGAACAAGGAAAAATAGGGCTTTTTTGGCAAGTTGCAAAAAAATAGAGGTAATGAAAATATAAATAAAAACTCCAGAGAAATGAGTCTGCCAGGTCCTGCATTCCCAACAAAAAAGCTTTGCAGTTCCCTGTGGAGGATCATTCAGGTCAGGCAGCAGAAATGCTCTTGTGTAACACCAGGCTCTGCTTCCTGCAGCATTCTGAGCCTCCAGAGCCTCTGGAAGAGCTCCCTGGAAACTCCCCCCAGCCCTGCAGATGTGTGGAGGGCACACTGGGCTGTCTGTGCTCCCGGGAGCCGGGAGGGGATGGAATTTGGCAGGAACTCCGTGTCTGGGGAGCAGCTCCAGCTCCTTTGAGCCCTGTGCTCACACAGTGTCCCCAAGGCAGTGCCCTGTGCACCTGCAGAGCACAAGTGCCCGGGCTGGGGAGGCACTGGGAGCCACAGGGAGATGGGAACACTGCTCCAGTTCTCCTGGGAAGGCAGGATTAGCAATAGAGAGGGGGGAGAGCCCAGGGACTGAACCCACCTGGTAATGGCATCTCACCCCAACCCCTGCATGTTTGGGCTGATGCACATTTGATAACTGGCTACACAAGGCACTTTTTACAGCTGCTTTTCTGTACACTTCCTTGGATGCCAACAAAAATCATCCACTGACAACTAAACACAGTGACTGAACTGCAGCACCCTGGATTTTGGGGAGGAAACAGGCACCAGTACTAACCTCTGTTCACTGCCCTGCAATCCCACCAGACCTGGCAGTGCCATCCTTTCCTTTGAAACTGCCTGAACAAAGAGATATTCCACTTTCCTCCACAATGCAACATCGAAATAAGGACAAGTTTGATCAGAAAAGACTCCAGGAGCTCCTACATGGAGTATTTTCCCATAGTCCAAGTAACCCTAATGGCCAAACACTTGTAGAATGAGCTTGAGGAGGATTCTCAGTCGACAACCCCACACTTACCCGGTTCTTTGCCCTCCACTTCCTCCTCCCATTCCTAATTGCAATTCCTAATTCCTAATTAGGGTTACTTATCAGGGAATAAAACCCCAAAACTGAGGTATCAAAGAGAAGAAGTCAGGGAATAACACAAGGATTGTGTGCAAGGCCAAGCTTGTTTAGAAAAGAGGAAAAGGCAGAACCTGGAGTGTCCAGGTCCAGGTGTGACAGCACCTGAGGCTGAGCTCAGCCCAGCCTGGGAAGGTACTCCTGGGAGGAAAGTGGGGTTGATGAGCACTGGATGTCAGGCCTGGGGTCACACCTGGCCTCTGGCTCAGGGACCTGGATCCCACACTGGGATCCTGCTGAGTTAGGAACCCTTCCTTCTGCTCACAGCAACCACCGTGTCAAATGAAAAGCCTTCTTGAGCATTGTGCCTAAAACAGCACTCGAGCACTACTGGAAAGCCCTGACAGTCAACACAATTCAAATGGAGAATAAAAATGCCAAAAGAGACACCTAAACCAGAAATTAAACACCTATGGAGCACAGAAGTAACTTGAGAACTATTTAATTAGACTATTTACCAATTTTCGTTTCGGTTTTCAGCTACTGAAATAAGTCTCTAGACCAGACAGAAAAAAACTATTTTGAGACATCCTTTAGGATAAACTGAAGGATCAAACTTACCCACAGGAGGCCTGAGCCTCTCCAGGAACTGCTTGTCCTCCAGGCTGTGGGCAGTGCAGATGACTCTGGCCCCTCTGTGCTGGGCCAGCTGAACCGCGATGGTGCCGAACGGCTGCAGGGGGGAAAAGCAGATTCGTTCATTAATTCGTTAATTAATTCACCTACAGCGACAATTTGATGCCCTTTAAGAACAACGAGATCACAAAGGCCATTCAGGAGAAGTCAGGGGAGTATCCAGAAAGGAACTTACTCCTGCAACAAAACACAGCTGAACCAAGAACTGAACATTCACAGATCTGCTCCTGTCCTACGTGAGGCCAAAAAAGGTCTTTTCAGTGACTGGGAAGCTCTGAGCAAACTTTCAGTCATTAACTGGTTCTCCTCTTCAGCAGAATAGCTCAGATCCTACTTTAATTACCACAACCACCCTCCCTGCATTCGGAACTCGGAGCTTTGGGACCTGCTGGAGGAAGAAATGCTCCAAGGAAAAGCCCCAGCTGTGTTTCCATTACAGGACCTTGGCTGAGGAAGCTCCATGTCTCCATTAGCAATGAGGACTGCAGGGATACAAATCAAATTATTTATAGCCAAGGAAAGTTAAAAAGCAGAGGTGGGAAAGGAGTAATAAATAAGGTATAACTTTCCTGAAGTTATATCTGAGGGCTTAGGGTAAAACTGTGTCACTGTACAACAGCAGAAAACCCTCCCCACACAGCAGGCAGGATGGAACTCCTGGCTCAGGATCTGATGTGGGAAAGCCTTTCCTATGAATCCATTCACTGCCAGCAGTGAGGCAGAAGCCTTGGGAAGTGCAGGTGTCCGAAATCCCGAGGCTCTGGTGCTCAGCCAGTTATTCCCAGCAAAGGGATGGGTGTCCCTGCAGTCACTGCCCAGCTGGTACCTACACTGGCTCCATCCAGCACGAGCACAGTTGTCCCAGGAGAGGCCTGGGCCAGGTAGTGCAGGGCTGTGTAGGCCCGGAGTCCATCCCGCACCGTCCCGGCTGCTGCAGCCCAGCAAACCTTCTCTGGCTTCTGCACTGGGGGGAGAACACACAAACAAACAATCAAGACACGGCAAAACCACCCAGCAAACCTTCTCTGGCTTCTGCACTGGGGGGAGAACACACAAACAAACAATCAAAACACGGCAAAACCACCCAGCAAACCTTCTCTGGCTTCTGCACTGGG